GGGGTGGGAGGATGGGTTGATATGTCAGGGGTTGGAGGATGGGTTGATATGTCAGGGGGTGGGAGGATGGGTTGATATGTCAGGGGTTGGAGGATGGGTTGATATGTCAGGGGGTGGGAGGATGGGTTGATATGTCAGGGGTTGGAGGATGGGTTGATATGTCAGGGGGTAGGCTGGTGCATTGTTGTTGAGTGCAGTGGGTTGGCGAGTGAGCTGGTAAGGAATATATAAGATTCGACATATAAGAGAATTAGAAATAAGAAAAAGCAAATCAGAACAAGTCTTGATAATGAGACAATCCTTACTTATTTTGGGTGTGCATAGAACCGCTGAACCGTTCGCACTACCATTCAGCCTCCTACAATCATCTAGTTTACTTTCGTTTCCATGGCAGCTGATTAAAATGTTTGAATTTATTGAGCTTATACCAAATACGTTGCCATTCATTGCTGCTTCTACGCCAGGATACCCCAGCTGTTTGCAAACTATACGAGCAACTTTAACATCCCATAATGCGAAGGAAACCTTCTTCCATCCTCCCTTGATATGAGCCTCGATTTGACCAGCATATTTTAATGTTGGTCCATTCAAACGAACTGTAAGGAAATTAATCTTTTGTTATTATATTTATTGAAAACGGTTTTATATACATGAAGTATACTTTATACCTGAATTACAGAAACTACAATATGCAGGCATATTGAATATTAAGCGAGCTTGGTTGCGATATTCGATAGAGGGAGGATGTGCTTTGTATATCATACACCATAAATCACTATCTGGATGTCTTTTCTCGCTTTTAATCATTCTTTAAAAAATTGCACTACTGTATACACTATGTTGATCATTGATACTGTTATCGCGCATTTGATGTCGCATCATTTGATATCCCCTCTGCCGACCATAATCCTTAGCAATGTTTTGAGGTCATAAAACAATGTTTTGAGGTCATAATGGAATAGGGCAATTTCCGTTAAGGAAACTGAAAAGAGTCTAGGTAATAGAATGTTTTTTTATAACAGGCGGCATCACTATTGATTTCGTTTTTTCACTACTTACTTTTAATAGCTGTACACGGAATGACTAGCAGAAGTAGTGACGTCACCGCTCTTCTTAACTGGTACATCACGTGATGGATTATAACGACGATTATTATTGATAGTGATCGCGGTCTGTGGGGATAATGAATGATGATTGGAGTTATGACGATGATAATATTGTTCTTTTAAAGGGCCACTTTAGACAACATTTGAAATATCGCAAAAAAGTATCGATTTATTCTCGAATTTATTCGTGAGGTACAAATAGCCTTTAATGCTCCGGTATTAATTAAGGAATATCCATAGAAAAAATATCAAACCTTCTGTTTATAAAAGAGATCGAGATAAATCTGCCGCAGTTTATGCAAACAGTAACAGCACCTGCCAATCGACGTAGAACTCGAAAAAAAGGAATATGATTGGGAAGATCCATGCACTTTATCTCAGTGCTATACACGCTGTTCATTTACGCAAAATATACATAAGTTTCAATAACGCCAAGAAACAATTAATTACGTGATTTACTACATATGACGTGACATTCAATAGCATTAACAGACAAACAATTGTACTTTTGGACAATAAAGAACAACGTACTTTCAATCATGCGGAAAAGATAATCATCAACACCAAGATAAAATCAATTGCATCGATGGACAATCAATGGTGTAGTCGTGAAAACCTTTTTCATTGCTCCACTATTGATCACACTTACTTGAAGTATCTATCTGTCGTTCAGACGCAGGAATTCATTGGTCTTATCAAATGACGGATGATCTGATCAAGTGTCGTGATGTGCTGTAATGTATACGGGGCGGGTGTCAGCAGATGACGTCAAAAATGCAATCAATTTATTTATAGCAACAATCAAGGAACTGACTGCCAAAGACTTAATTGTCAAATTAAACGAATGCTTATTTACAATACTGCTATATAAAAAAAAATTGAGAAAGTGCACGTACACGGTAGTTAATACATGTATCATGTGGGTTTGCTTCTGAAGACTTCTGAAGACTTCTGAAGATGGGGTATCAAACCGTTCATTATTGCTGCTGAACACTCCGATTTCTATGAAATCAAAAATTTAAGCTTTCGAGCTAAAAAGTGGAAATACTCTGTTTTATACCCATCTGTCTTATAAAACGAAACGATTGTACGCATCATAAAACTCGAGTATAACGGGGTCATGCCGACACAAATCAAGTCAGACTAAAGAAATCTTGAACGGTATATAAATAGCGTAAAAAAGTACCATGGAAAAATCAAAACTTCAGATATAATCAGGTGTTGTTTCTAAAGCCATTAGAAGACAGCAGAGGAAACAATAACAACAAGAAACGCTGCTGACACTTGGTCTCGACTTCCGCTTAGTTATAGTACTACATGACGCACGATATTAAACACCCTAACAAGCATTGCAATCGAAGACAAAGAGTTGTAAAACTCCAAAAAAAAAACTTAAATGAAGGGAAAATGTATTTTAGTAGCCCGGTGTTAGGGTATTATCAGGAAAGGAGCGAACGCAATTTCTATCCGTGACTAATTTTACTAACCTCTTTGTACTATTTTTGTGCAAATTTGCAAATGTTTTTCATAAAGAACAATGATGTTTCAAAAGATGTTCCGCTTCAGTTGCAGACTCGGTGCATTTTTTTAATTTGACATTATATGTACTTCACGGATTGATTTGTCTGAACCAATACCGATCCCAATTTGATGGTTTATGATCACATTTCTGAACTAATTTGAATCAATTATGAGCTAATCTGAATTAATAGTCAAGATGTAGTGATTGATGAGTATCCCATCTAATCCCAGGGAATAGTGTCATTTAAAGAATTGTTCAATATAGTAAATACAAACCTTATTGAATCAAATACTTCATATTTCTTTAAAGAACGTTCACAACACATCGAACATCGCGGGTATTGAATGTGCGCGTCTATTCTGCGCAAACTCGCGTGCGCTCTCGTTTGCATATGTAGCGAGGGTAGATCAGTCAACCAGTCACRTTTAGTCTATACGTCATAACATGTRTCCGGTTACTGAATAGTTATATATAATGATTATGAAAAGCCAAATAAAGCTGAGTTCTACCCAAACGTCTTAGAGTGAATATTTGGTCCGCTACACATAGCTCGGTCCTAGTTCGATGTAGTTTGAATTTTTTTGGCAAAACGGCGACATCCAACATCTCTTCCATTATAAATTCAAAAAAAGACCTCATCCAGTCAGATGAGACGCCTTATTCAGTAAAATCACTGTTTAAATCAGAGCAAAACAGACATCAGAAGGGAAGTTTTTGTAGCTATAAAATAGTCGAATATGTTGTAAGTTGTCCTGAATTTTTTGTAATGCGACTTAGAAGAGTTTTTCAGTTTTTACAAGGCCATAAGGGGCAGAGGGGACACCCTCAGCTGTTGTAAGGATGATAAAAATCAGAGAACAGAGAAGGCAAGAAATACAAATATTAATATCCACAACGTCGTACCCAGGGCTTTCTCTTCCTCGCTATTTACAAAATGGCGTACGAGGTTGTAATATCCACATACATTTTCGTTCATAATGCGTTCATATTGTATACCGCAGGGGTATGACACTGATGATGATGATGAAGTTGATGATGATATTAATGATGATTAAAATGATAAAAAAGACAATGAAAAGCTGCTTGTTGGTTTTTACCATGTTCTCTATATACTAATATGGCATTTAATCCGTTAATTGAAACCTCTACAATTTATACCTTGTTTTCCATT